TGTAAGACCCTCATTGCTGGGGGATACTTTCTTTGTACTAAATTTGTATTCCTTTTCTCTTAAGAAAGATTAACTTTAAAAAAATCAGTGGCTGTGTCAAGACTTGTTTTCACTTGCTAATAATTTGAAATAAAATGAAGGAAATGGGAATCTTTACATTTTCTGAAAATGTTAACTGCACAACCTCAAAATGTTGCTAAGACAAGATAAGAGCATCAGAGCTGTGTATATTGTGATTCAAAACCATTTTCTCTTAGCCTTGTAGGTGGGTGAGCAGGTTGACCTTTTTTGATGGGTATTGTGTCTTGTATCATTACTGTGTCTGGTGTTGGAATGGAAGTCTTACTGCTGTTTCATGAGTGGGTACTTTGATTCTATGGTTCCTTCAGTATTACAGCCTGACTTGTAATCAACAATGAGTATTTCTTGATATTTAATGTGTATACGACATTTATTTATACTTAATAAATATTTTTCAAAAGGATATCATTTTAGTCATATCACTTCAGCCTAAAAACACCACTACAAATACCCAGTTTAGCCAGTAGCAATTGGATATAATGGAAAGAACAAAGAACCGTCTAGGCCCCATGGGTCTCCTCCCTACCCCAGCAGGCTCCTCCAGTGTAAGCACTGTTCCAGGGCTGGCTCCTGCAGCACACGCAGCTGCTCCCAGGCCCAGCATGTGCAGTTTATGACAGCCAGCAGTCAAAGACTTTCCCTGGTGAAACATTTCCCTGTGGATGGCCTTTCCCAGCACTTGGGAGAGTGGATCTCTGCTAAGTTCTACCATGAGACCACGGGGACTTCTCTGCAATCCAGTGACCTATGGCAAAGCCTTCTCCAACTAAGTCTGCATCTCAACTCTGGTGGCTCTTCTCAGGGTAGTCTCTTAGCCTTAGGGAGTGGTAGCTGTTCCTTGCATGTTCTTCAGTATTCTGTAGAGTTCTCTTTATTTCTTACCAGCCAATCCCTAGTTATAGCTGATAGTTGCTTAAGTAAAACCTTCCCTGATGAAAATGCTCTCTTGATTGGACCCAGACCCATACACCTGGTAGTTTCGAAAGATGACAATAAGGTTTGTCTGATGAAATAATCAGTCAAAGTTAAGAATTTATGTTCAACAAAGGGCAAAGTTAATAAACTTAATGGAAAGTTAATAAACAATTGAAATGAAATGTCTGAAATTGACTAGGAATTGTTATCTAGAATATGTAAGAAATTTACAAACCATGAAAAATCACACCAACCCCCAGAGAAATATGTCCATAGGGTAATGCAGTGAATTGCTTGCTATGGTTCTTCTAGCCATAGTGTTTGTAACCAAATACCTGGGTGGAATCATGCAACAGGATGTATGGAACTCTGGAGGATTGGTCCATCTTGCCATTCCACTGAGTTTTGCCATTCCTGCACAGGGTTTCTCACTACCATCAAGAAAAAAGCCAGCAGTGGAGCATGTCCTTTGAACCCCAAGATCCCTGCCCACTGAACTGCCAGATCCATAAGTTAGCTGTGACATCAGAGAAGTGGAGGCAACAGAACCAAGAGCCAGAGCACAGGACAGCAGTGGGAAGCCTCTAGGTACTTAATTGTGTGGGGGGTGGGGTAGGGGGCAGGAGTCTGGGTTTGCTGACTAAGGGGGCTGGAACTTACTGCCTTTTGGGCTTATAGTGGGTGGAGTGCCTTTTGGCATTTATTGGTTTCTCAGCAGCTTTAAAGGAGCGTTGTAAGATTTGCCCCAGTAGGACAGAGGCCAAGGGGTACTTTGACAGACAGGCTAAAGACCAGAGAGGTATGCCGATGGGCAAAACTAAGTAGAGGCTCGCCTGACTAGAAGAACTGTATCCTAAGCTTTTCTGATCCTGAATTCTAACCTGTCACTTTCCCTAATAAACCCCAAAATCATAAATATTGTCTGTGAGTTCTGTGTGGTCATTGCAATGAATTATCAAAACAAGTAGAGATGTAGAGAGTGACATGGGAAACACTGTGGATATAAAATTGGTTAAGAAATGGCTGGAGGATGGAGCCGTGTCTGAGCACTGCCTCATTGGAACTGGCCCTGGGCTGATGTTGAATTTGATTCTCCTTCCTCCATGTGGAAAGCAGCCCTGGTGGTGGTGTGGTTATGCATTGGGCTTTAATACACGCGGTCTGCAGTTTGAAACCACCAGTCTGCCCCACGGGAGAAAGACAAAACTTTATACTCCCATAAATAGTTACAGTCTCCGAAACTCGCAAGGGCAGTTCTACTCTGACTTATAGAGTCACTGTGAGTCACCATCGACTCGATAGCATTGAATTTGGGTTATTTGGTTTTCCTCCATGTGAAGCCAGAAAAGGTCAGTTACACTGTGACCTACCCATCTATTATAAGTCCTGGTCATCAATATTTCATCCCAGGGTCCTCCCAGTTTGGACTGGGTTTGAGAGCATGCACAGTTTATATATCACTGTCCTTTAATTCAAGCCTGACCCAAGAGTCACTGGAAGGGACCACATCATCTGACTCACTGTTCTCCCTAGCTTAGAAACATCTGAGAGAACATGACTCATCAACTGGACCTCCATTTACAGAAAGAGGCAGGTTAGGGGACAGGAGGGTCAGGGAGGAGTCAGCATCCCAGAAGCGTACGGGGATAAAGAGATGCAGTGTGCCAATTTGGGGAGCACATGGTATTGGTATTTTGATAATGAGACCTCGTGCTGCTCCTTATCTGCAAAGACCGTAAGATCCCTTTCTGTTTCTCTTGCACAGTGTCCACTTTATTTCAACTGGCTAATCATGTAGGACAAGGACTCAACAGTTTGGGCAGCAGCATTTCCAAGTAACCAAGTAGAAAAATGATGATAACGTGCTGAACAGAATATTTTAAATGGCAGCTCGAGAAATGTGCAAAGATATGGAGTTAAAAGGCCAAAGGGGAAAGACACACTCAGCAGGTCTCAAACTGAAGGAAAAAGTCAAGCCTTGAATTGCAACACGGAAGGATTCTCTGGACAAGATAGGGAATACTACAGAAGCATCAAGATAGAAGAAAAACACAAAGTCAGTGTATCAAAGAGAATTGGTCTATGTTCAACCATTTCAGAAGGTAGCATATGACTGAAAACAAATGGAATAGGAGAAGTCCAAGTTCACTGAAGGTGTTGGTGAAAAGGCTCCAAATATTGATAGAATACCAATTGATATATTGCAACAAACAGATATAATGCTGGAAGCATTCAGTCATACATAGCAAAGAATTTGGAAGAAAACTACCTCGTTAATCAATGGAAAGATCTATCTCTTGTCTCTATGCTAAAGAAAGGTAATTAACAGTGCGGAAATTTTCAGATATTATTGCCATCATACTCAAATAAAATCTTGATAATTTTAAACTGGCTGCAGCAGTATTTTGACAGGAAACTGCAAGAAATTCAAGTTAGATTCAGAAGAAGACATAGAACAAGGGATTATCATTCCTGATGTCAGATGGATCTTGGCTGAAAGCAGAGAATACAAAATAAAAATTGTTTATCTGTGTTGGTGGCTTGTGGGGAACAGAAGGATTTCTCTTAAGTTGTCTCCCCAAAATATGTACCAAACTTAGCTGCTTTAGCGTGACTGTTCTTTAGACAGCGAAAGTAAGTCAGAGGTTATTCTCCTTAATATCAGTCATCTTTAGTGGCTAGACTATTAGTCTGACTCACCCTAAATAAAGCCCATTCCCTTCTGTTATTGTTCCCTC